AGGAAGGAAGGAAGGAAGGAAGGAAGGAAGGAAGGAAAGAAAGAAGCAAGGAAGGAAGGAAGGAAGGAAGGAAGGAAGAAAGAAGCAAGGAAGGAAGGAAGGAAGGAAGGAAGGCTGGTTTGGCCTCCTCCTTCCTTCCCCCTCGCCTTCCCTTCCTTCCTTTCCTTTTCCATTCCAAGAGGAGTGCTGGAGACCACTGGGATGCTGATGGGAGCCGAAGTTGAGGCTTTGCGCTCCTGGGGAAAATAAGAAAAAGAAAAAGAAAAGAGGAGCTTGGAGCGCCGCAAAAGGCATTCCTCCCCCTCCCCCGCCCCCGCCCCGGTTGCTTTTCTTCCCCGCAGCCATTGCTCAGAGGGGATTTGCTTTTCTCGGGCCATCTTGCTCCAAACTCCTCCTCCTCCTCCTCCCCAGGCACTACTGACTAACAGGGGTTGCAGACTGCCAGAAATAATGCAAATTGAGTCCACTTTTAAGGTTAGGGTTAGGGAATCATGGGAACTGTATTTTATTGTGGCACCAGAGCTCTCTGACAGAGAAGGCTCAATGTCTCAGGAAAAAATACAGTTCCCATGATTTCCTAGCACTGAGCCAGAGCAGTTAAAGTGGACTCAATTTGCACTATTTCTGGCAGTCTGCAAAGGCCTTAACTTGAAAAAAGTGGCTAATAGCACCTTTGAGGAGAGCCAACGTGGTGTAGCGGTTTGAGTGTTGAAGACCAGGGTTCAAATGCCCGTTTGGCCATGGACACCCACTAACACGCACAAGTACCTAGTAGCACCCTTGAGGAGAGCCAGCGTGGCTTAGTGGTTTGAGTGTTGGACTACAGCTCTGAAGACCAGGATTTGATTCCATACTCTGACATGAAACTCACTGGGTGACCTTGGACAAGTCACACTTTCTCATCCTCAGGGGAAGGCAGTTGCTAAACCTCCCCTGAACAAATCTTGCCAAGAAAACCCCATGATAGGTTTGCCTTAGGATCACCATAAGTCAGAAACTACTTGAAGGCATACAACAACAACAAAATACCTTGAAGGCATACAACAACACTTGAGAAAACACAACAACACTTGAACACTCACACTTGAAGGCACACAACAACAACAAACACCTGGTTTAGAACTGCTACTCTCAAAGGGCTAGTTGTATCAATTGCCAGGCGCTTTGGTAATATCTTACTTTGTGTACCAATATGCACAAGTGCCTAGTAGTACCTTTGAGGAGAGCCGCTATGGTGAGTGGCTTGAGTGTTGGACTAGGACCCTAGAGACCAGGGTTCAAATGGCCCCTTGGCCAAGGAAACCCACTTGGTGACCTCAGCCTCGGGGGAAGGTAATGGCTAAGCCTCCCCTGAACAAATCTTGCCAAGAAAACCCCATGATAGATTTGCCTTAGGATCACTATAAGTCAGAAACTACTTGAAGGCACAAAACAACAACAACAACAAAATACCTTTTGAGACTAACTGAAACAGAGAGGTTAGTAGCATGAGCTTTTGTAGACTTGAGTCTACTTCCTCTCATGCATCGAGGCTGCAAATCTCATGCTATCAACTTCTCTCTTTCAGTTGGTCTCAAAGGTCTACAACAGGGACAGGCAACCTTTTTGA